GCTCCAGAGGGGTGGGGAGCCTGGTGGGATGGCTGGGCTCAACCCCAAGGCAGGGGCTGGGTGGGGACATGAGGACGTGGGAAATACAGAGCAACAAGGAGGCAGCCATGGTGCAGGATGGGAGGACACGGGGCTCACCTTGAAGAGGGTGATGCTCTGGAGCACGCCCGTGGTACAGCACATCTCCCGGATGGAGTGCATGGCCAGCTGCGGGCAGCCGATGTCCAGCACACGCAGCCCCAGGCGGGAGGCCAGAATGGGGCCGATGGTGGTGCCGCAGGGCGTGTCGTTGCGCACCATGAACTCCTGCACAGGGACACAGTCTCAGCAGCTCCCCACAGCCTCCCACATGGGCACCCAGAGACGGACGCAGTAACTGACCCTGCACCCAGCAGCAGGGCCCAGCCTGTTGAGAGAGGGCTTGTCCAGCCCCACTCACCTGCAGAGGGACACCCACGCGGGCGGCGATGTCCCGGATGACTGCCTCGGTGACAGCTGTGGAGGCGTAGCGCTGGTTGCTGTTCACTTTGATGACGGGGCCCTGCACAATCGAAGGCACAGCGGGGCCCGAGATTGGCACCGGGGACAGATGGTGGCTCTGGAAACACCCGTGCCCAGGCAGAGACCCACAGGGATTCAACGCTGTCCTGCCCCAGCCCACCAGTTCGTTCTCCCCTCCCTGGGTGATCCATGGGGATGGTGACAGCCCTGCCACGGGGACAGCCCCAGCTCAGAGCAGGGAAGGGCTTCAGGGTCAAGGCTGTGGTCCCAAGTGATTAATGCCAGATGTGTGACATGGACAAATAACACTGCTGGACAAACGTCTCCTGTTCGAGTGCGGTTGAGTTGCACCCCAGGAACATGCTCCAGGGAGCGGCTGGACATTTCACAGTGCTGCAGGACAGACGGACAGCGCCTGTCCCAGCCCAAAGCAGAGGGCTGTCCTCACCTTGTGGAAGGCTGGACGATGATTCTCCTCATGCTTGTCTCTGCAAAACAGAAGCAGGAGTTTCATGCTACAGCCCTCCTTTCCTGCTGTAACAAGGACTGTCCTGTCTGTACTCCCTGAGGAATGACTGGGATACGTCCCCTTCAGTCGGCAGGGCAAAACTCCCTGGCCGGTGGCACTGCTCAGACTACTCACACGTAGTTAGGGTGCACAGCGTGGGCCATATCAGCGCTGATCATGTAGGACTTGGCCACGGCCTCCTCGAAGGCTGTCAAGTTTTGTGGCGATGCCGAGATCCGGCGCAGGACCAGCTCCGTCAGCAAAGACTCCGCGCCCTGTGCACTCTCTGACCCTACCTGCCAAGGACCACCATCAGCATGACCCACATGGTACAACCCCCAGCACCCCAGGGGCTGGCTGAGTGACAGGGGCTCCCCAAAGCCAGCAAAGCAGCTTCCAACAACACTAGTGCTTCCCTAATACCCTTCACAGTGGGGTAAGCTAACCCTCCCTTGCCCCACTGGGGCCTGGGATCTCTCTCCTGCTAGGCAAGGCTAGGGGAGAGTGAAGAACACGGAGCCCCTCCCCGTGCCAGCCGCCCCATGGCCATGCCCCTCGCTCACCTCCTCGTTGTCGTAGAGTGCAATGAGACGCACGTTGGGCTCCTGGGAGAGGGAGGAGGGTGCCGCACACGAGTCAATCAAGGCCTGCAGAATTAGAGGAGAAAGCACACCAGCTTGAGTGTCACCCCATCCCAGGAAGCTCAGCACTGAGCTGGCAAGAACTTCCCCAGGAGAGCTCAAAGCACCAAGGAAGGGAGCTTTGGGCACACACGTTGCCCAACAAGAGCAGGAGGCACCCCTGGGAACCCCACACACCCAGCAAAGGGACTAGCCCCTATCCAACCCCAGATCCTCCAACAAGCCAGACCCACCCCATAGGAACATGCCTCCCTGCAGAGCCTCGGGCCAGCCTATGGCCCCGCTGAGCCAAGCCAGGGTGCAGAGGGGCCACACTGTAGCCTCCAGGCTCCTTTCCCCCTCCTGCTCACCTGCAGGGCGCAGTAGCAGCTGTGCAGGTTGTCCAGGCGTGGGGAGAAGATGAACTCGTCGAAGGCACCGCCCAGCGTCTGCAGGTAGAGAGCCAGGAGGAACAGGGCACAGGCTCTGGGTCACCAAAAAGTAACTGCCACTGGGTCCCCCACTCCAGTCTCCTCATCTCTGCCCCTCAGGAGCTGCCTCCTCTCTCTCATTCTGTTCAGCTCCCAGTCCTGGCACGCCCCAGGCAGAGGAAGCGTGCCAGGTAAAACCTGTGCAGTGCCAGCCCGCAGGCTGTGTGCAGGCAGAGGGAGGCTCCTGCCCTTACTCACCGCTGGCTGTGTGTCCGCCAGGCATAGTTCCAGCTCCACAATCTGCTCTGGTTTCACCCCTAGCTGGGGGCAGAGCAGGGAAAGCAGGACAGGGCTGTGCCGCTCTGCCTGGGAAGAAAGCGGAGCTGTGGGTAGGACAGGCAGCGGATGGCAGGGGAAACTCCCTGTTTCCCCTGGCAGAGCTGTCCCACATCCCACTCACGTTGGCACAGTCCTCCCTCCTCCTAACACCTCCCTGTGTTCAAGCGCCCACCTCACACAGGACAGCAGGGCCATTTGCAGGTTGCAGCGAGGGGCTCTCTGCCCCCTGTGCAATCCCCTCCCTCCCTGCCCTGTCTCCCCAGGGAGACTGTGACAACTTTATGCGGGCTGCACCCCTTCTATATGATGGCTGCAGACCAGGACAGGAAGAGATGGCTGAGCAGACGGGTCGCGTACA